CCATTTCCTTATTCACGTGTCAGCTCCTCAGCCTCCCACCTGTCGCCTCGAACTCCAAACCGCCTCTCTCTCTCCTATAAATACTCCTCCAACCCATCTCATTTCTTCACTTCTCTCATTCGTTTCTCTTAATTTGCCCGGTCTGCTTTCTCTCTCTAGCTTCTCACCAAGTAAGTGCTCCAGTCCTCCTAGTCTTTTATTTTTCATCTTCCCTTTTTTGACCGGCAATCATAATGTCTTCTGATAGCCAAAACATCTCTGGCCAATCCTATGGATCTGGCTCTCAGCCCTCTTCCTCTTCTCACTCTGAATCTTTTTCTCCCCCTGTCACTCCTTTGATTCGCCGCCCCTCTCACCAGTCTAGCTCCCAGGCCCGGGAAATAGTTGCCCAGGAGCCTATTTCTTTGAACCAACTGCCCGGTCGGTTCAATCCCAAGGTCCTCAGCTGGGAGCAATGGGAAGAACGACTGGGATCTTTGGGCTTCCTAGCCCTTGATGTTAGACCGGTATTCAAAGAGTCCTCTAGGGTTACCAAAAAGGTCCTAGCCGAGGTACGCTCTGTCCTTCCACCAGGATATAAAGTCGTTTCTAACACCACCTGGCCCAACATCATAGAACCCCACCAAGGAAACCGGTTGGGTTTTCACATCGCTTCGCTAGAGGGGGGCATCATCTTTCCTCTTCGCCCCCTCCTTATTGAAATTTGTAAAAAGTTTCATATCTTCCCCGGTCAACTTACTCCAAACGCTCACCGGTTCTTAAATTGTTTTGTTAATATTTGTGAAAATCTGAAAATTAACCCTTCCCTTGAGCTTTTCCTCCACATGTACGAAGTCTTGCCCGGGACTAGTAACTGCCCGGGCTTCGTCTATTTCCATTCTCGTAATAAGAGATCTTTTGTGACCGGTCTTCCCCCTAGTCACAAAAGGTGGAAGAAAAGATTTGTTTTTGTTGAATTCCCCCCTGACCAATTTCCTCTCTCAAACCCTGAGTGGGCTGACCGGGTTATAAAACCTGAAAGGGTTCAACCGGAGCCCACTAAAGATCTTGAGGACGCCTGCGAGAAACTTCTCAAGGGTGATCCTGTGACCGGGAAACCTTATGCCTATGGGGGCTGGGTATTCCGGCTAGCTAACCCGGATGGGGGTGCGTCTGCGACCCATGACGCTGAGGATAACCGGGCTGATTCCCCGGATGGTCACGCTGAGGCCGGCTCTCCTCATCCAGGTTGGTTAATTTTCCTCAACCTTTTGATTCCACTTTC